TTTGGTTTGATAAACACAGTCACCGATTAAAAAGAGAATTGGTAAGGGTAACAACAAACTTGTCAAAACAACCAAATAATCCGATTACAATGCAAAACAATATTACAATAAATTAAAAGAAAAAAACGACAATTCAAAAGTGAATATTACAAATCATACAAAACAAAACAGTAGACCGGACAATAACTGGAGAAGACTGGGTAAAATATTTTAAAAATTTGTACAGCAGTAAACTAAACATAAAAAACAATATTAAGATAAAAGAAGAGTTGGCAACTAAAGAAATCGAAGATCAAGCTAATATGATACTAAATGAGGAGATAACATTAGATCTGGTCTGAGCATTGTCCTAGAACATCTATGTACCAGGATTCGTTGAAATGGGATAATTAGTATATGCCATATCAGTCTGAAAGCAGAAAATTGACTAATTATGCAAATTAGTTGATTAATATGAACACATTTTTACCCCAAATTAATCAGGTCTCTGCATTGTTCTAGAAAATCAGTCATCCCTCTAAAAATGTCATTACTGTCATTAACAATCAAAATACCCTTGATACCCTGGAGAAGTATGTCCACTGTTTCACAACGACTGTCCCAGGGGATTTTCGTCTTCTCAATTTCTCAAGATAAACGTCCCAATGTTGGTTTGTTTACTAGAAGGACTTGTCTTTTGGCAGCATTTCTTGTATTAATTTCCATTGCATAAAAAAAGCAAATACTTTACTGAAGCACAGAATTGTTATGATTTGTTCCCCGGCCATTCACGGAAACTCCTAATCAAGTCTTTTACCGCATCCATAGTTGTTGACACTTTGCAACCGCCTTGATGGATGTATTGTGACGTATTTTGACCCCGGAATCTGACCTTGCATTCTGGCAACATTTACTGCCCTGCCTAAATTTTGATTTCGTGATATTTTCATGACTAGGGCTTTTACCACAACACTACATTAGAAAACCATAGTAGCTACTCTACTAGTAACAAAGAAAATATTATAATATTCAATAATTAATTACTGCGTATCTGTGTTTTTCAGACATTTCCCACATTTTAAACAAATTCTGCCAGCAAATGAAGAGGATGAAGAGGGTTAACCCATCTCGTCAACTCGGTCGTCTGCTCGTAATAGCTGTCGTGTCACAGGCAGTTGTCAGTTTTCCTAAACAAGTTGATTGTGGGAATGATCTTCCCTGTCGTTGTTTAGAAGAAACATTCTCATGGGGATCGGATGTAGATGTCAAACAAAATAGTAGCTTTGTTTCATTGGATGACTACAGCTTAGACGCCAACTATAGTTACGAGTGGAGTTCTACTGTCTATACTGAATCAACATTGACCGTTGATTGCAGAAGCTCAAATTTAAAAAGAATTCCCTACACCATACCTTACAATGTAACCAAATTATGGGTATCTCATAACAGCATTGTGTATGTAGCGAGGGTCTCACTTGCACATTGTCGTGAAATAGTGCAACTGGACGCGAGTTATAACGCCATCTCTCATATTGATAGAGATGCTTTTATTAATATGGAGAATATTAATACTATATATTTGAGTAATAACCAACTCACTGACCTGCCACGAGAACTCTTCAATCACACAATACACTTAACTTTCCTTGATGTGAGCCACAATCAATTGAAGCGTTTACCGGTTATTAACAGCAACATACCTGCCTTGTATATATTATTATCCTTCAACCAGATAAGCCAGATGGAATTAATCAATCAACAAAATTATAAAACGTTTACGTTTATTGGTTTAGATATATCAAACAACAAATTGAGAAGCATACCAGATAACGTGGTCCGGCGTCTGAATGAAGTATTTGCTGAACGCTATGGAGAAATTATTCTTGATGGCAATCCATGGGTATGTGACTGTGAAATGGTATCAGTGAAACGAGCATGGCCGCACCATCCTCACTATATTCGAGACACTATCTACTGTAACACGCCAGACAATTTGAAAGGAAAGAATATGTGGAACATTCCAGAATCACAACTGGTGTGTTCAAATTTCAGCGTGAATGATGATGAGAAAATTAAAATGAATCAGACAAACGTAGAAAGAAACTGTCACACAAGTACTTATGTCCTGGGAACATCCATTGGATGTCTGCTTCTAGGAAGTGGTTTATCTATCTCAGCT